GAAATAACGCAAATTCACCCTTAAAACTGTCTTCGGGTCGTCAATCACTGGATTAGGAGGCGCCTTTGAGTCCCCGAGAAGTGAATTTATGTCCTTGCTGTACTCCATCACATACTCCCACCTAATTTTAAAAAAATTAAAAACAAAGTTAGATATTTGTAGCTTTTCTACACTTTTTCCTCAGCTTTCTCGGCGACCAAACAGACTAATCCAAAGTGTCTACAAAATTACTTACCAATCGATGTTATACGGCGACGGACTCATTGACATCTTCGATAAGCTCGCGACAGAGCTCCTCCGGCTCTGGAGAAGCGCGAATGGTGGACCGGAACCGTACGCGATCCTCCGCCACTTCGCATCACCAGTTTCGCCGTCTCCATTACTGAGCCTCACCTCCACAACTCTCCCGCCAACTTCGACGTCGTCAGAGTCTTCTGCGGACGGTGGCCGGAGAACCGACACGCGCAAATTGTTGCCCCGGGACCACGAGATGGAAAGGCGACCGATCGGAGGCTTGAGGCCGTGGTGAAGTGAATAGACGACGGGTTGCCGGAGCTCCGGCGAGTATGGGACCAGAGAACTGTCGTTGGAGCCTCGGGCGCAGCGCGTATCGCCGGAGCCAGAGGCGACGTCTGGCATTTCGACCGGGAAATCTTAATGGAGAGTGAGTGGGGTTAGGGTTTTGGGAGGGTTTGTGAGGGAGAAAAGAGAGGGAAAGTTGAAGCGCGCGTTGCGGTGAAAGTTGGGGACTTAAGTTGAAGAGGGGATGAGCAATTTGGGTGCGTTTGGTAGCGGTCAAATGTTATCCAGGCGCTTTGCTCTCTTTTTTTTCCTTAGCTTTTGCAAATCTTCAACGGCTATTATTAATATTTTCCATTGGAAATTAACTAAGCACAAATAGTAACTTGAAATGCAACAAATTCATGTTTTTAAATGCAGAGAAATAATTCTCCTTACTAATCTCTTCGGTTTAAAGATTCATTTTGATATAAAAAGAAAAAGAAGAACGAAAGTCGAACTCTTATCGTGAGTACAGAAATAAGTACTCTGTCACCCAAATTATAAATCGAATCTTGTTCCACATAGAGCATAGTCTAAAACTTATATACTTCACTAGTGTGCTCACAATACTTGATCTACAAGCTGTTTATTCAACGGTACAAATAATTTGGAGAACATTGTACATATAATCTTTATTTTCTAGAGTACTCAAACTCTCATCACTTATACAGCAAAGTAAGCAACCTGCCAAAACCGACAAAGTCTCTGTACAAACTACAAAGAGATTTGTTTCACAAACATAAGCTATAGGAGGCAGAACATTCCTTCTCTTCATTTGAACTTCTCATATGTATATTGCCCGTTGTATTCGCATTTCAGAATTACACATCTCCCTTACCTCTGTTTATTGTAGAAGAATTCAGGCATTCCTTTATCATCTCTTGAATCCGTTTCTTCATTTGCTTATCTTTCACACCGGCAAGCATATTCCGGTAGAACTTTTCCAGCCTGACGAGCTTGGCACGATCTGCTGACTCTAACATGTTCTCCCATTCCCTTGTAATGTCATAACTACCTGAGTTCAGCAATGAGACTGGAATATCCTGCTCTTCCATGGGTTTTCCAAATATTGAGCCATGGAGTATGCCAGCATACTTCTCCATCACTGAAAGTTTTGACTGAAGAAGCTTCATCTCTTTCATTGCCAAAGACAGCCTTTTCTCTGTTTCGGCGTCTCCTGTAGAATTCTTTTCCCCGATTTTATCTCCATCGTCAATAGTAGCTGTAGCTTCCTTATCAACGGTATTTAGTTCTTCTTGCTTGAAATCCTCTGTAAGTGGAGGCCACAAGACAACAGTGGGAGCATAACAGTCAATCGTCCTACCATTTCCAAGAACCCCACTCCTTCCTCTCCCCCAAGACCAAAGCTTATATCCATCATTTGCAACAAGAACAGTATGAGCAGCTCCACAAACAACTTGGACCGGATCCTGAAACCTAGGCCCATTCAATCCATTAATCTGTAGAGGAGAAACAGCATCCCCTGTATCTCTCCCAGCATAACTAGCATCTGGGTATAGACCAAGACCCTTCTCCATTCCCCATGACCACACATCTCCAGCAGATGAAACAACACTAGTGTGAAATAAGCCGCAGTCGACAGACACCAAATATATGTATTGTGGCAATTCTTTCACAGGTTCAGGAGACAATACACTTTGGGTGGTTCCATGCCCAAGCTGCCCATTTTCTCCGAGGCCAAACGTCCAGCACATGCTTTCTAATGTGTCACTTGGCCTTTTTTTGTGGGTGAGCAAAGCCGTGTGAAAAGCCCCACATGCTACCTCATAAACTGCGAAAGGAGAGTCCTGGTTAAAAGCTTCAACAATTGCAGGACGATTCCTGTACTCTTTATCCCCCAGGCCTAACTGACCATGGTTGTTACCTCCCCAAGAGAAGCAAACGAGATCTTCGCCTTTATATGTTTCTCCAGCACTAACTAGGGCTACAACGTGCTCATTTCCACATGCCACCTTCACAACAGTATGGCCATAGAAATCCCACACTGGTGTTGGAGTGAAACTGCTCACAAGCGAAAACCCACCTTCATTGCTGCTGCTTTCTAGTGGGCAACTGCCCCACATCCAAAGGCCACCTAGATTATCAATGGCTAGAGACATCATTCCTCCAGCTTTAACAGAACAAACCTGATGTAGACGGATTTGGCAAAAAATAAAAAACAGCACATAAGGCTCTTATCTTCATCAGGTATTTAGTGCACTGCCGCGGTAAAACAATTCTTTCCATACCTGTAGTGGCACTTCACTCTCCGTCGCAGATCCCACCTCAAGGAACCGTTCCAGCAAGCAGGGCACCAGAAAATTTCCTCCATTTACACCAAGTTGGCCATCCATTCAACAGTTAAGAATGTAAACAAGGAGCAAACAAAAAGAACTAGGGATGCACTTTCCATAACTAGATTATTTCATTGCACAGAATTAATGAAAGCACATATATAACCCTATAGTGAAGGATACAGGTGTTGTAACCCCAGCACCAAACTGATCCATCATCTGCCATCACACAAGTAGAGTTAGAACGGAGAAGAATCTTGTCCACCATTCAACTATTTTTGCGTGTTGTTCGTTTTAAAAAGAACCAAAAACCTATTGCCATATGTAAATTCATAGTTTTGATGTCTACAATCCTCTATGGTTAGTTCATATATCATAAAGTGTGTCGAGTAACCAAATCCAATCACACATACTACCAGTTTACATAAGCATAATGTAACAAAAACATTTTCAATTCCACTAAACTCATCAAGAGCTTGCAAGACTATTGATAACTTGATCCTAACCTAACCTCATCAATAGGCTTTAGTTGTCTGGCATAAATTTCTAATGCAATTAAACTCAGAAAAAACTTCAAATTGGCCTGATAATTGGGTGTAAATGGGGTAAAGTTATGAACTTTAACCATCCAGTGGGTCCTCCAACAAGGATACCAGTTTTACTTGCTTGAGAAAGGATGGAAAAAGTGTGTAAACAAAAATACTAAGAAAACTGAGGAAGTCTGCAAGCATACAACCAGCAGAAAGAATCGCACACAAAACAAGCCTTATCTTTGTGCAACACCAACATACCATCTATTAGTTTCAAAGTCTGCCACAGAAATCTGCCAAAACTTCTTAGAATCAAAGACTAAATAAACTCACAGCAATCATCTGAACAGTTCTAAAAGCCCATTTCATATTGGAAATTCCACTCCTTTGAGAACCCAATTACTACTAAAAACATCAAAATCTGACTAAAAGCTAAAACTCACCAGCAAGAGCAACACTGTGGTAAGAACCAGCGGCAACTCCCACAAGCTTGAGCCTCCTTTCTTCTGCAGAACGTGGATCATTAAATTTGATTCGAACTGGGAAGAGCTCGTCGGCCTCGGCACCAGTCCCAAGACGCCCAAACATGCCTCTTCCCCATGAATACACAAAGCCATCCCCTGCAAATCAACACCACAGACAGCCATTAAAGCTCAAAATTCATCAATTCTCCTCTGCTTGTGCCAAAGTCTAGTACCTGTGAGAGCCAGAGTGTGGGCTTCTCCGGCAGCAACTGCCACCACTTTGCGAGACAAGCTGCCGCCATTAGGAAGAGTGGCGCTTTCCTTGTCCATTGTTAGAGCTAGAGTCACCCAGAAGGTAAGGTGTGTGATAAATTGCCACTCAGAGATGCAGAGGTCTTTCTATGCTGAATTTTTTTGTGTATTGACGACCCAGATGTTCAGATGTTTGACAAATTGCCAATGAGAGGTACACCTTGTATGCTGAAGATTTTAAGGTGTGTGATAAATTGCCACTCAGAGATGCAGAGGTCCTTTTATGCTGAATTTTTTTGTGTATTGACGACCCAGCTGTTCATATGTTTGACAAATTGCCAATGAGAGGTACACCTTGTATGCTGAAGATTTTTCTGCTCACTGTCAGTGTCAATGGTTGAATGGAAATTATCTTACCTATCTGTAAACTGGGCACATTTTAAATTTGATATTCTTTTATAGTTTTGTCATTAATCTAAATTTGGTAACATTAATCTCTTTGACAATACTAATCTCTTTGTTAATTTTTGTTCTGTAAAGCTGCAATTGGCAGATGTTAAATTGGACTAGATTAGTTTGTCAGCTGTCACAACAAGCCTAAGCATAGACGCATACCTTGCATTAAGAAAGCTTATCTGCTTCTGTTACTTTGGCAGATGTTAAATTGGACTAGATTAGTTTGTCAGCTGTCACAACAAGCCTAAGCATAGCTTATCTGCTTCTGTTACTTCTTGTCAAACAATAATTGCACGAGTGTCAATTCAAAAGTGCGTGCATGAATTGGTTAGCTGCAGCCATCCATTTCATCAAGAAATAGTGGCATGAGCCATCAGCTTTCTGCAAAAGCACTTTGTCATTTTTGCTTTCGAATTTCCCATGTGATTTCCACGCTGCGATTATGACAGATAATAAAAGCACTTTCATTTCCTTTCCAAATTTACAATTTCAATATCAACTTACAATTATGTTTAATCCTTTTTAACCTGTCCTGCTGATAATTATTTACATCATAAACATGGGATTTACCCACCACCACCACAGAGACCCTCATCAGAATCATCTTTTTGATCATGACTCGTAGCATAAGCGGTCAAATTCAAGTACTTGTCTTGTTCCATCGTCCTATTGATATCCCTCCACCTTGCCCTACAAATCACACAATAAGCCGACCTCCTCCCGCTGCTCCTCTTCCACTTCATCAAACACTCCTCATGAATTGGGTTTCTGCATGTCCCGCAAGCCACCACTCTCTCTTCCCTTCCCATCTCCTCCAAGCAAACGGGGCAGCTTCTGCCCTCTTCAATCTCCACATCCCTTGGCCTTGTTCTTGACGACGAAGCTGACGAGCCCTGGTTGAAAAACAGCTGATGAAACCTCTGTCGAACACTTACACCAGCCAGTGATTCGGGCAGCGTCGGCAGCCCCAACAGGCGGCTAACCTGGCACGGCCGGAGCGTCCTCCTCCTGAGACACGTGTCGTCGAGGGGAAGGCCGAGCACTCGGAGGAACACGAAGAGTATGTGCTTGCATGGGGTTGTGCGGTCAGGGCACGTGCATGAAGGGGTGGCGCATAAGGCCACGGTGTACACGTTCCCCGTGGCGCCCAGGATGAAGAAAGTGGATTCGCTGCGGTGGAGGATTCGGAGGTCGTGGTGGAGGGCGCGGACAATACGGTCCGCAAAGGGCTGGGTGGGCTTGAACCGTGTCCGTGGCCGTTGGGGGTGGTGGTGGTTTGGTGGAGAGGAGCTGGAGGCAACAGACTCCATTGGGAAGAATTATGGAAGAAACCCAATTCAGTTATGGTAGTTAAGGTGGTGTTTCGAAATGTGATTTATTTTTTCAACAAAATAGGACGAGAAAGATAACTGTTTGATGTTTATGTGGGGGGAATGTGGTTGGGATTCTTTGTGTGAGTATGAGGAGTACGTGAGGGATAGCGGGTGGGTAGGGAAGTTGGGTGAATGGGGAGAATACCAAAGCTTGCCTTGGAGTATTGGATTGTGAGGTAGATCCTCAAGATACGTTAAGGCCATTGTGACGGGCCATGTTTGGTTGTTTTAGCTATTTTCACAATTTATTGTGGGTTCGGACTGATACGTCTGTTTTTGGGCCATATGGTGTGAGTTGTCTCATACACGTGTCATGGAGTTAGAATCTAAAATCATTAACAGTGTGAAAATAAGAAAACAAAAACGAATCCCTTAAAACGTTTTCGGAGAATATTTTCTTAGAATATTTTCAGATAATGAAAACAAGAAAACGAATTTACATTTTCAGGAAATGAAAATACGTCTGGTAGATTAATTAGAAAATATCTTTAAAAAACAAAAACAATGAAAACATATATGGTAGTACAATTTGAAATAATAATATGTGAGTTATTTTTATGAAAACGTTTCCTATGAGAATGAAAACAACTTTTTTCTATTTTCTACAAGTGCACATGAACTTGTTTTCATTTTATGAAAACATTCTCGGTGTTTTCTATTTTTGCTCCACCGAACGTGTTTTTGCCTCATTTTTGTTCTATGAAAATGAAAACAATCCATTAAAACGTTACCGAACGGCCCCTTAATTTGCTAATCAAAATTATTTTTCAGTAACCTAGACCCGTTAACTGACTGATAGGCCCTAAAAACAATATTTTTGTGTTGGTTTAAATAATTGGTAAAAGGAGTTAAATTAAAAGGAAAACAAATGGGTAAAGAAGTTATCTTTTTGTCACTATGGTAAAAGCTCTTTGATTTTCCCTCTTACCTCATCCTCCCGCAGACAACCCAACCCAACCCACCAAAATCTCTCTGCTTCTCTGAGGTTACTCCTGCTTGCTCTAAAACCACTGAACAAAACCCATGTTCGCTTCATTTCGAAACGCTTCCCAGCATCCAAACAAGGTACCATTTGTTCTATTTGATTTCAATTTCATCACTTAGTTGTCCTTCTCTCGTTTTTGGTTTCAAATTTCTTTGTCTACCCCGAGTTGGGTTTCTGAGAACTCCGGGAAAAAGGAAACCACACGGTCCACACGGAGTTCTCAGCAGCCAAATGAAAAAAATTGCATCTTTTTTCATATGGAACCATCAGCAGCACCCTCCGTTTGGCCGCGGAGAAAATGGGGAAGAGACCATATAGTTGTATTATAATTTATAACTTATAACTTAGTCTAAATTCAACCATCATAGTTCATTTTCTAATTCTCATCTGCTAACAAACGGAATTGATATCAAATTTACTCTGATGGGCATCACTGAAAGCAGCAGCAGAAGCAAGAAAGAGAATGGTTATCTGTGAGTTTTAAGCCAGAGAACTTTGTTCCAGGAGTTGTCATTGGCTTCATTCTTGGGTTGCTGTTGGATTTATCACAGCCCGGTAAGGGTCGGTCGAAGAAGAACAGTATCTCAGTAGGCAAGGTGCAACAGCGAAGTTTAGTCACTAGTAATGGTGATGAAGAGCTTAAAATGGTTTGTCTTTTGGTGCCTTAAAGTTCTAATTACTATTGAATTCTTATGTTATTGATATTTTGGTTAATGATGGCTTGAAAATAGTGTTGATGCTGTGTTTTTGCATGCTTTAGTAATTGTTAGCATGTCTTACATATGCCTTCATATAAAAGATAAAGTTAATTCTGAGATACATTGAGAAAGCTTGATTAAGGAATCTGTTTAATTGATTAAATTGGAGTCTGATTTGTCCGGGGAAATATAGTAGTGATCTGAGTCGAGTTTGCTGTTATAATAGTTTTCTTGTTTTTATTGTTTAAAATATTCAAGTGGTGAACTCCTCATGACAGGTTCTGGTAGTTCGACGAGACCTAAAGATGACAACTGGAAAAATTGCATCTCAGTGTGCTCGTACGTACCTCAGATTCTATAATGTTATCTAGTATTAGTTTGGTGATAAACTTCCCTCAACACCCTGTTCTTGATTTCTTTTGCTGAATAATTTGATGAAATATTTCTTTCACAACCTTGCAGATGCTGCCACCGGCGTGTATGCAGAACTGATGCAAAGGTGATTAGGAGTGGCTTCCTCTGTTTTGAGTATTGAAGTTACTATGATTTCCCTCCCTCCCATGAATTATTTATTTGTTAATAACATCAAATATTCATTGCAGCCACAGATCCCTTTTGAGACAATGGGAGCAATATGGGCAACCCAAAATAGTGGTTACATGCAAGAATCAACAAGAAATGTAAGCAGGTGATTTTGTTCTAAAAAACATATTCACTAAACAAATAGGACTTTTGTTTGGATAAATGTGGGGATAACATTCTGCTCTTTATTGTTCTTTTTTATCCTTTTCTAAATCAGGAATAAGCTGAAGGAAGCAGCTGAGGGAATTGGCCTTCCTACTTTTGTTGTTGCTGATGCAGGGCGAACACAGGTATGATGTTGTAACCCCAGAATGTATAAAATTACTCCAAAGTCTGTTGAGTGCATATAAAAACTAGTACCAAATCAGCATTTTTGTGAGGGAATATTTGATCCTTAGCCAAAAAACCAAGAGAGGTATACTCCATATATGCGCATATATAGATGTTTAGCAAGAAATGAAAGTACTATTTAGTTGCTGAAATTATGTCCATTGCTAAGTAGATTCAAAATTTTGTCTTGAAGAGAAAATATAAGATTATAGCTTTTCCTTTGGGCCTGGAAATAAGATTGTAGTTGAGATCTTGACATTCGCTTTATTTTGCTCAGGTTGTGAGCGGGTCTAAGACAGTTCTTGCCGTTGGACCTGGTATGTCTCTCACACTTTGCTGGAAAATAGTTTTTGTTGCATTCCTTTGTAAACTATTTAGCACCCTTTTGTTCAATTGGAAAAATGTTTTAGATTTTAGATTATAGAACGACTTGAAATTACTGCCTGTCTAAGGATTATTTTGGCCTTCTACATTGCATGCTTCATGCATAATTAAATACAAAACACACAATCAGAAAACAAAAGGAGGCGGCTTCTGATCACTCAGTTTTTATGCAGGACCAAAAGAATCAGTTGATTCAGTGACAGGGAAACAAGCCCTCCTCTGACAGTGTTGTAGAAACAGAGGCCTATTTCCTGCAACGCCATTGTTCTCTCATATTCTACTTGAAGCCTGTAAAATGCTGTCAAGTTGAAGGTGGTTTTCACCATATCTTGCAAGCAGTGGCCAGATGAGATGCCTGTTTTCCTAGTGTTCATCTGCAGGAAGAAGGGCGTTGTGTATCTGTTTTCCTAGTGTTCTGTAGACCTAACCCCACTGCCGCGGTGGAGATAAAGATAGGAAGAAGGGCTGACATGTATCTTCAATTTTCCATTGCTCTGATTGGAATGTATGTTAGACAGATTGTAAAATTTCTAGGTTAATTATTAATAAATAGAATTCATTCTTGTGACAACCTAAACTAATTTCAAATGTTAAACCATTGTTTTTTTTTTAATGCTAAATGTTAAACCATTGTTGAAGAGAACCTCTTACTATATCAAACCATTTTTCATAACAAAAAACGCATTGATCCAAATCGCCTCTAAAGCAAGAATTTCACAATATAAATTGTCAATGGAAAAATATTGTTTTTATGCTAAGAATTCTTCTTCTTTTTTGTTACTATGTGCACAAGAACTTCAAGAAGTCTTGTAGGCGCTGCGCAACTACACAACGCATACTTTAAAAATAAAAATAAAAATTGATGATATTCCCTCTTACCTTTTGGTAATTTCCCCAAAATGCAAAACCCCACTAGAGCCTTGGCTCTCCAGCTACTGTGACTGTTGTTCCCAAAACCCTAACTCTTACCATTTCTCTGCTGTGTGCTCCAATGGCCTCTCGCTGCAGATCTTTTTCAAAGCCGGCTTTCTCTTTTCTCAAATCCAGGGTGAACAAGCCGACGGTCAAACCCAGACCTATGTCTTCTCTCCCCACAACCCGCCCTTCCCTCACACTCTCAAGGTAAGGAAGCCCTTCAAACCTCTGAAATTCTCAATCTTTTGTTAAATTTTCAATTGGGCATTGCAGTTGAGGGCGTTTTGTCAAGTGGTTTTTTCTCAATTATTAAAGCTCTTGACTTTTTTCGAATTTTTGAGTTTCAGGCCAACTCCTCAGTTGGGTTCTCTGCAATCTTTACTTCCATTTCACTCGGCGGTCTCTTCAGCTCGGCTCACGTCGTGCCTCGGCATTGACTCGAGGAGCTCGAGGTCGTTGTCTCAGGGTATGCTTGGTGCAAACCCAGGAGTTTGATATCTCCAATGTTTTGTTTTTATTATCTGTAAGCAACTTTTTTACTCTATAGTTAGCTAATGTTTGAATCTTGAATTTGTGTTATGCATTTTTTCCGTATTAACTTGCTCAATTTTTTTGTTTATACTAAAATTGGTGAAACTTGTAGGCAGAAAATTGTTATTCTAGTATATCAGTCTGTTTCCTTATGCCTTTATGATTTACTTAGCCTGATTTTGTACACTTCAAATTCATCTTTAATGCAATTTATATTATCTGCCCCAAAACTTTGGTCTGAGAGATAAGTTTACAGAAGCAAATTTGGGCTACATTGTTGGAAAAATTGAGGGGGTAAATAACATCTAAAACAGCTATGGTACTGCTCTTTAAAACCAGCTGACACTGATTTTTAGTGCACTGTTTGACAGACATGTCATAATGTGAATTCGGTGTTATCGTGTGTTGCCTTTGATAATACTTTAGCTTTCAGTATGATTCAAATTTTTAGCAATGGGCACCGATATTGGGGATGGTAGTTGTAACATGCTGCCAATAGTGTTGAAAATTAATAGGTTTTATGTTTTTCCCTACTTTATTGGATAAAGCTTGTGGCTGTTAAAAGTTTCATGCTTAGAAGTTTGGAGCCAAATTGCATGCCCCATACAAAGCACTTGACATACTCTTTATTAGGATAAGCTTCCAAGAAGAAAGAAATGTTATCCCTCTAATGTTTTTTGAAAAAGTAATCGGTATATAATCTTTGAAGTCTTGAAAAAACCAGAAAGGGAATATCCGAGGGGTATGCAGTTAATCCTTTCACTGTACTGAAACCATTGTGTCTACCTTTTTAATTTCCTATTATTGAGGTTCAGTTTCATAATGTTTTGGAGGTTTTTCCCCTCTTTGATCTTGCATGAGTGAACTTCAAATCGTTCTCCAAACATGGTAGTCCTTACAGGTTTATAAGTTGTTATGAGTTGGACATTTTTGTTGAATGCTTACATTTTCATGTTGTTTAATATTGTCTGTCTAGATATGATGAATGCTTGAACATTTTTTTTTTTAAATGTATAATATTGCTCTCATGGCTATGATAAATTGTTATTGAAAATTATGATTCCATGCTGGAAGACCTTGTGAAATGTAGGGTTTCTTTGTATACGGGCAGTAGTACTCTCAGAAGCATGGAATTTTGCTATCTGTTTGAATGTTATACGTTTTATTTCCAAATGTCTAGATTTATTAATAACACATTTCACTTATCTAATAGATTTATTTATTAAGTCCTAGTATTGACATGCAAATTTTCAGTTCTGATGGTGATTGGGAACTGCTTAAACTTTTTGCACTTCATGTAGTAGTACTGATTACATATCTGATTTAGCTTGTTTTTTGCCGTGTGCTAAGGATTCAGTTTACTCGTTTAACTTGTTTTTAGCGATACTGATAGTGTCGGTTCGTCCTAACATATTATGCTTATTTTTCTGTTTTGTTGATATATTCAGAGCTGGGTCTCAGCGTGCCTCGATAAGAGATTGAAGTTGGAAGATGGAAGCTAAATGGATCAGTCTCATCACCTCTGTTATCAACATGTCCTTTTCATCATCTAATGGAGTTAATTTTAACAGTTCTGTATGCCGAGGATACAGCTGCAAGAATTGAATTCTCTGTCTCGTTGCTATAATTGTTGAAATTCTCCTTCAAATTTCTTTTACCTTCCCTTCGATTTTTCCTATACTCTATATTAGCATCAATGTACTACATTGCTGTTCCTTTTAGTGGAAAAAAGAATAATGATCTTTCTGTTTTTGCTAGATATCAAAGAGTAATAATAGTTGGCGTGTGTTCGAAGTTGCAGTTTAAAGTTCTTCTCGCGAATGCATTCTCTCTTTTACCTTGGAATAAAATAAAGGTGTGGGCAACTGGGATTGTGCCGCGTATTAGTGAATATGATATAATATATAGAATGAAAAACTTTGTAAGCAAACGTGAAGTGCAGATGAGGGTGCGGGGGGATCGAGTGATAAATGTCCAAAATGTCTCCTATTTGTTTGAAAAGATCCTTGGCCCAAGTGCCAATGTCTCCTTCATCACAGGACACTTGCATGTTGCATGTGGGTCTCTCTCTCTCTCCAAGTCCTTTGTATCTGTACACACTTCATTCAGACTCAACTATGCATGTAAGAATTTATTCTCAATGTGTAACTTCCAAGCATGACTGGAACGTGATTCACAAGAGATGATGCTACAGTCAGTTGTTCACACATATGTGGTCTAGTTTTGATCGTTAAATATACTCAGATGCATCAACGATTATAAATCGTTTATCCATGCATAAATGATTCGCCTTAGTAATCTTTACTAAACCTTATGACATATGTGGTCTAGTTTTGATCGTTAAATATACTCAGATGTATCAACGATTAGAAATCGTTTATCCGTGCATAAACGATTCGCTTTAGTAATCTTCACTAAACCTTATGATTCGGGGGAAGGTGATTTTGTACTTCTAACTATAAAAGATCATAAAGAAATAGGAGATGATAGAAGCATGGGAACATCCAAACCCTACTACATGGCTATAATTAAACAGTTGCACAACTGTCTTTAACAGCTCCTTGTAATGTCTACAAGCAAATGCTGCAATGGCCCAGTAGAAATTATATTAAAACCTTCTCTTAAGTAATAATACTTTTGATCATGTTGAAATATAAGATACTGATCTGTATCTGCAATGCAACAACTTGTTGGATGGAAGTTTATTATCGTTTATGCTCTCATTTCTTCATTTGTAGAGTCACGGGCTTCCACGTTAGGGAAATTGAGAAAAGCTCTTGCTTTTTTTTTTTCTTTTTTTTTTAAGACGGCCAAGTCATTGTCAGAATAGATGGTGGTGGAAAGGAGACAAAACCCTTTATTATCAACATGGGAAAATCTTCCATGCATGGAAGCCATTTATTTTTTTCTCAAAGATAAAAGGATAATGCTTGCTCCATTTCCTATAAAGAGATATTTCTCCTTACTATGAATCACAGTATGGCATATGCAAAAATAATTCATCGAAAACACATCTGAAAAAACCTTTTACATACATGTCACACCGCTATTGCTTAAAAGGTATGAGTCTGAAACGGTAAAATTAAACCCATTTAAGCTAACCCGTTTACTTAAAATATGAAATTAAATCTTTTTTTCCCCCAAAGTATTTTATAACTGCAGCTTTATAACAATTAATATTAATGCAGTAACTGGTGTTCTTGTGTGTCTGTGTCAGTGATGGCATCATAAAGCACTGTGAGGTGCATGAGGGCATGAAAAAGAGGCATGTGACCACCGCAAACTTTGCTACACCTTCATACTAATGTACAAATGCTTATCAGAATAATTAAATTAAAGATGTAATTTTTTAATTTAATTTTATATTTTCGAAAAATCATTATCCCCACCAGCCCTCTGCCATTGGGCAAGGTTCCCTATTTCTTTTTCTTTTCACTTTCTTGGCCAACGCTAAGACCAAATGAAAAATCGTACATAGCCAGCTTTAGAAAATATATATTATTAATTATAGAACAATAACAATGTATTATTATTAACTTAATTAACAGACCTTTGGATCAGCACTGCCTAGGATCCTGCATGCATACACATATTATCATAAGCATTGTCAACAATAATTAACAACTTAATTTTCATTACCAAAAAATAGAATATAGCGACTCAAAAATCGCTCTATAAAATCGCGTACACTGATTTTTGAGAAGAAAAACTTACATACACCGGGTTGATATAATGCATGGTCTACGGAGTGACGCAATATATTCGTTTACAATAAAACAAAGAAATTAAGAAGTGAAACCACGTGCAACTTAAATATATGGGAGGTGGGTTTTGCGAAATACATGCATGTTCAATCATTTTCCTTTTCATGGGGAAATTCGTGTTTTCATTTTCTCGAAGTCTTAAGAGCATCTCCATCGCTCTTCGGGCTAGGGGGGAAAGGCTGCCCAACGCAGCCCGAGTTCACTCCAGCGCAGGGCCCGTAGCCCAGTTTGGTGGCGGGTCCCACGAGCCCGAGGAAGCCCAAGGGCAAGTCTTGCCCGGGCTGAAGCCCGAGTTGGCTGACGTCAGCGCTGGCGTCACGCTGACGCCAACG